ATCGCATGAAGGGTTTGACACAAGCAGTACATGATGCACTTGCAAGCATAGAACCAAAGAGGTGGTGCAATGCTTTCTTTATGACTCATTCTGGTGTGGCATCATTGATAACAACCTCACAGAGACATTCAATGCTTGGATCTTGATGCAAGATGCAAGGCCATTTATAGCATGAATGATGAGTTGGTAGAAAAATTGATGGTAAGGCATGGTGAGAAAAAGACATATGGTAGAAAGTGGCCAACAAACATTGCTTCAAAAGCATACAAAAAATTGCAGAAAAATGTTGACATTTTAGCTTATTTCCATCCATGTCCTAATGGAGAAACATCATACAAGGTGAGACATAATCTAGAATATTTTGTTGTTGACTTTGCAGATTCAAGTTGCACTTGTCAAGCATGACAATTGCCTGGGATCCCTTGCCCACATGCATGTGCTTGCTTGATTACTCAAAGTCAAAATGGAAAGGACTATGTCTCTCATTACTACAAAAGGGACACGTATATGGAAGCATATAAGGAACCAATATATCCTTCAAAAGGTGGCATGAAAATATGGTCACAAGTTTGGTGTCCCCCAATGAATCCACCTCCATTTAGGAAGCAAGTTGGTAGACCTAAGAAAAATGAAGAAAAGATAAAGATGAACCTAAGAAAGTTAACAAACACAAGACAGCAATGTTGAGGCTTTCTAAGAAGGGTTCTAAGTGCACTTGCACAATTTGTGGAATTCAGGGACATAGCAAAGTAGGATGTCCAAAAGAGAATTTGGTTATTAAACCATCCACTCAGGTAAAGCCTTAAAACCCCAAAATTTTGATTTTAAAAGTGTAAAGTAAATTTCTAATTTAATATCATGAGGTTTTTTTGCAGCCAACACTTAATATTGAGGGAACAACTGCATTGGGGGAGGAAAGAGGCAAGGGAAGAACAAAAGAGAAGGAAAAAACAACAGAAGACAAAGTTGGAGCAAAGAAAAATGGCGAAGGAAAGATAGCCTGTGAATAAATACTGGTTTTTTTCTATCTAATGCTATATTATTATTAAGTCTAACGCTATATTTTATTTTTCATTTATAAGGCTGATGTTGGAAGAGAATCTGGTCATAACACCAAGGAAAAAACTTCACATTATAGAAGGGAAAGGCTAGTTGGTTATAGTATTTCAACCAACCAATTTACAGGAGATATAATTTTGAATGTAAGTGCACATTTGTTACATGTTTGTGTTTAATGTCTTCTAGGATTTAAATTAATCATTTGGTTTATGATATTATTTGGTTTAATTGTATGCTTGGAGCAACCTGGAACTCATTTCGAAATACTTGTATCAAGTGAAAGCCAAAGAAAGAGAAAAGGACCACAACAAAGGTTTAGGGAGATTAGACCCAGGTTTGAAGTTGGAGAAAGTTCTAAGCAGGGAAGCCAAAGAAAAGGCAAAGGAAATAATACCTCTAAGAAATAGAATTAAAGATTTTGGTTGGCTTAAATGTGTTTTCACAGGCTTTTTTTATTTATGTGAAGCTGAGTTATGGCATGAAACTTGACTTTAGTTTATGTGTACCTAAACTTGATTTTGGGCACTTTCGAAGCATCTTCTATTTGGTTTGGAGTTTGTCTTGGACAAACAAAGCAAACTTGGTTTTGTGTAGTTTGGGCATTTAAATGGAAATGAAAGTGTTATATGTTCCTTTTAGCTGAGCTTTACCATAAAAAATATGTTAGTTGAAGTTAAGAGTATGCTTGATCTAGAATTTTCTTTTCTTTTCGGTTTAAAGTTGCAGTTCCAGTATATTTAAGGTTTCTTTCCCCCTATTTTCCTGTTTAAAGTTGCAGCTCCAATATATTTAAGGTTTCCTTCACCCTGTTTTCCTTTTGTCATTTTGGCAAAGTTTCTCCTTCCTTTGTCTATTTCCAGCATACCAATTATATGTTTTGTTTTTGTCATTTTGGCAAAGTTTCTCTTACCTTTGTCTGTTTCCATCATATCAATTATATGTTCTGTATCAAGATAACCATAGACAAAGATGATAATAGACATAATTTTTATTGCTGTCACTGAATGGATTACAATCAAATGGCCATTTCCATAATGGCTAATATACAAACATAGAATCCCCATTTACTTAAAACAATCATATGACCATTACCATATAACATCACAAAAGAAGCCATTTACACTAAAACAATCATGACCATTTTCCTTGTAAGATTTTCAAAGATATCACTTATACCAAATCAAACATGAAATCCAAGCACTAGACAACACTAGATTGTAGAAGAAAAACTACGAAAAAAATCAGCAACAATCGGAGGAAAAGAAGAGCATGTGCATTATGCTTGACCTTGACATCAATTTGTAGGATTTTCTATTTCCTTTCTTTGCAGCAATCAAACCTAAACTAATTGGTTGGGGGTGCTCTTGTTGTCATTGGGTGGGCTTTCGATTAGCCGTTGGGTGGGTTGGTGTTAGCAGCAAAGAAAGGCTAATAGGAAATCAACAGCACTGAAGGAGAAAAGAAGAAGATCAAGATCGAAGTACTAGGGAAGGAATTGGCAGTGAAAATTCTAGGGATTTTGGCCCCCAATTTGTGGAATGGGACTAGAGATTGCCTAGGAAAGTTCTAGGGATTGGGTGGGCTCCTTTTGGGCAGAGAATAAGAAGATCTTGCATGACCGGTCGTTGAGCGGAGAACAAGAAGATCTTGCACACAGAGAGGCCAACTACTGGGTGAAGAAGAAGAAGCAAATCTTGCATGGAGAAAGGCCGACTATTGGGCGAAGAAAAAGAAGCAAATCTTGCATGGAAAAAGGCCGGCTGTTGGGCAGAGAAGAGGAAGAACTTGCATAAAGAGCGGTCGATTGTTGGGCGGAGAAGTTGTAGGGATGAGGTGGGCTGCTGTTGGGTGGAGAATAAGACCTTGCACAGACAAGAAGCAAACTAAAAATTCTAGGGATTTCACCCCCAAATCGTGGAGTAGGAAGGAAGAGGAGAGATGGGAGAAAAGAGACAGATGTGGGATTACAACATGCCACGTCCGAGATTGCTTTTTATTGTCTAGTTGGCATGCCACATATTGAGGGGTGTAACGGATTATAATGGGTGTCATGTTAGACTTAACGATGGTTAGTTAGACTGAACGGATGGTTAGGATTTCATCTAATTGGGTCCTTATTTGAGAGTTTGCAGGAGTTTGAGACCTTGATTGAGCATATTAAAGGTTGAGGACCTCAATTGAGAATTTGATAAAAATTAGGGTCCTTTTACAATACTTAAGCCTTTAAATTACGGGACGTCGGCACTATACTATATAATCTAACACATGGCCGGTGGATGATTGGCTGGACGCGTCAGCTTTGTCCTAAATAGTATCTATCAAAAGACAGGGAAAGCGTCACGTGATGAAAAAAATATGTCACAAAGCCGGTATAATTCATACAATGATACAAATATGTACAGAAAATAATTGGTTGTTGTTTAATCAGGGAAACATTAAAAACAACAATGCTCATTATTGATGGTTGTTTTTTCATATTTTAATGGAGAAATTTTTTTATTTATTTTAATTATATTGTTATTCAATTACTTTATTCATTCTATTAAATTAAATTTCTCTTTATCTTTCTCTCTTTATTTAAGGATAGTATTAATTAAAATATAATTTTTTTGAATTCTTAATTTGAAAAAAAAAAGGTTCAAAATAAACTATAATTGTGGGACACAAGAAGTATATTGAAAGTGATATTATTAAGGCATTTACTTCATATTTTATTATAGATAAATTTTGCATTAGAAAAATATGTTATTTTAGAATTCACCCCTTACATAAAATATTTTACTTCACCTCTATATATAATTGTAAAGACTAACTATTACTGATAAATTTTCTAAACAAAGACAATGAGCTTATAAGTGATGGTGCTAACATATGACAAACGTTAAATTTGGCCTAGACCAATTATTAAAATTTAATTTAATTTTAGGTTGTATTTAATTAAAGATTAATTTTATTAAAAAATATTTACTAAAAAAATAATTAAAAAATACTGCACCAAAAGTTCAAATTGCTCTACAGAAATTTGAAAATTTTTAGAGCATGTTTGGTGAACTTATAAGTACTTCAGTTTTTTTTTTATACTATTCATATTTCATAAATTTAAATTTTTATTAGAAAGAAAATTTAAAAATTGTTTTAAAAAAAAAAGAGCAAAAAGTGAGTAAAAATAAAATTTTAAAAAAACAAGAATTTGAAATTTTTTTAAATTTATTATTTAAGATCTTTTTAAGGTTAAAAAAAGTAAAAATTTAAAAATTTTTTTTTAAAATTTAAATTTATAAAATATAAATAATATCGAAAAAAACTTAAACATTTAAATACAGAACCAAATATGCCCTTTAGCTTCAGTTTGCATCGTGGAGGCTTTGTATATTTTCCACAATGCATGTCGTTTTTTGAGTGCAATTGTGTGGGACACATGGCAATCACGCAAATAAAATTCACTTGTACCCAAGAGAAGAAAGGACATGCTCAGCAAATCAACTGTAATGTTTCATAATTTGTTTTGTTCTAGTGAAAACAGTTAATTAGCAGAGAGTGAAAACAGCTGAGTTTTGAGGGACAAATTGGGCATGAATCGGCTCTTGTTTGTCATCTTCAAATCTGGCACGTCTTGCACAAGGAACATGTAAGGACAGGTCCGAGGTGCCAAGTCTCGGACTACTACAGTAATTCCTTTATGACCGAAGTGAGAAATGAATCCAAAGCTCCCTGCTCAAATAGCTGCATGACAATGACAATAAGCATGCCCGCACCTGATTCCTTATGACGAGTGGCACAACAAGTATGGTGGACATCCGTGCATCTGAATACCTCTCAAATTCCCAGTCCCGAAATAATCGTCTGGATAGACACGTCAGGCTCCGATTGTCCTGCTAAGCAAGCCACGTGGATACCTCACAAAGGCCTATAAATACCCCCAGGGTCCACCTCAGAAAGGTAATTGAAACCAACCCTAAGCTCTTTTTATCTCCGCTCTAAAGGTAGCCTCGATTATTGCTAACTTAAGCATTGGAGTGTCTACCCCGAGTTCCACCTCGGGCTTTGCAGGTCTTCCCGGGGTGCAAGTGCGGACTGAAGAAGGACTCCTGGTTTGGTGCAATTACATTGGCGCCGTCTGTGGGAATCAAACTGAAAGCCTTCTAGTTGCTCTTTCATCATGGTCCACACTCGATCAGTCAGAGCTGGTAATTCATCTTTGCCTCATGGGCAGGGTCAACCCCCCACCAACCTTCCACCTCTGATCCCACCTCAACTCCCACCTCAACTTACACCTCAACCTCCACCTCAGGTCCCAATTATGTTCCCTCCTGTTGACCATGCAGAAGGACGAGATGAAAACCAACCTTATGCCTCAACTCACAATTCCACTTCCACTGCCAACCAAGACGTAGTGACAGCTCAGCTTGCTGCCATGCAGCAACAGTTCGGTGTTTTTTAGTTAGTACTGGCTTAGCTTTTAGCTAGAAGCAATCCTGGTGACCCCCTCATTAATTTACTGAACCCTACTCAACAACCCCCAGCTCTACAACAGAATCC